GGACCCAGCAGGTGGGGTGCTTGGTCTCTGCCTGTGATGGGAAGTCTTTCCTCTGGGCCCCCTGGCAGCCTCCTCTGAGGGCCGTGTGCAGTGTAGGCAGCACTGGAGAGCTATTCTTCCCAGGAAGTGGTGTGCTGCTGTGCGTGGGTGGTGAAGGGGCCATGGCCGAGGAGTGCCATTATTCTCGGGAGCTGTGGGGAGGGGAGTGGGGCAGGTGGCTCTGCTCCCAAGCCCATGCAGTCTCAAAGCATCCCTCCTACGGCCACCATGTTGCACATTCAGGGGTGAGCAGGAGCCCCCAGCTCAATGCATGCCCCCAGACAGAGAGACCAGCAAATTCCAACCTGGCTCCTCCAGAGAAGGGCTTCCAGAACCAAACCTCTATGGGTGCCAGGCACCTGTGGGTGCGTCCAGGACGTGCCTGTAATGACCCTGTGGGACCACCACTTACACCCCTCAGACTCCCTCCTCCTCGGCTTACTCAGGGAGGCCCTCCACGAGATGGGCTCAGACAGCAACAGGTGAGGATGGGGCAGCCCCTGGCGGGGTTTCATTCTCTAGTATGCAGGGCCACTGCCGGTCGGAACCGAACTGCCCGGCACCTAACAACCACCACAGTTCAAAGGTCACCTTCTCCAGGATGAAGCATCCCAGACACCCCTCTGGAGAAGACGGCTCCATCTGACGATTCTCACCCCGCTGTGTCATTGGTGACACGCCTCTTACAGGCACTTTCTCGGTGGTGGATGCATGTGAAGCACCTTCCACGCCTTAGCTCACCGAAGTCTCACACGGCTCCCAGGAGGGCAAGTCTGTGACTCTTCTTGGTGTCCAGATGGGGAGACGGACACTTGGAGGACAAGGAGCCTGCCCACGGCCAGGCAGCTTATAAGAACCAGGCTGACGGGGCCAGTCTCTCGATGCCCCAGGCGCTGTCCTCACGAGGCAGTGTGCACGCCCCTGGGTTTTATTATCTGGGAGCACACGTCTGAGCTTTACCCTGCAACACGCCACGACCCCTGGGCACAAAAGTGCCCCACAACCTGACCTTGCTCGGTCGGCATGGTAAAAATGAAGAAGCAGGAGACACTAGAAGACACACTCTCTGATGGCGACCCCCCACCCCCTCCGCTGGAGAGGGAGGCGGAAGGACTCACTGGCGGGCAGACACGGATGGACTTGGGTGAAGGAGCAGCCGAAGTTCAATAACGAGGGTCAGCCGAAAACCTGGGAGGACGGCAGTCAATGACATGAAACAAAAAGTGTGCGAATCGACACACGTAGGCAGTGCTCACTTGGTGTCCGCTGGCCGGCCAGCGCGGTTCCCCAGGACAGATCTGTGTTGTGCAGCCAGCCCTCCCCGTGACTCTGAGCTGGGCCAGGCGATGGAACAAGCACTGCTGGGGAAACTGGGTCCCATCTGAAAGAGGAGTTGGGGCGGAATCATGGGCACCGGCTCTGAGGGTCTGATGAACATGGAAGCTGAGGGTTGGCCAAGGGCAGGGTCAGGCAAGGGAAGCCAGCTGCAGGGAGGAGGAGGGAGGAAGGAGTCAGAGAGCAGCCGAGCCCAAAGGCGGAGAAGGGTGTCCCCAGGGCTCCCCACACACCACGAGGCCCCATCCTGGAGAAGGTGACCTTTGAACGGTGGTGGTTGTTAGGTGCCGGGCAGTTCGGTTCCGACCCGCAGTGGCCCTGCGTACTAGAGAATGAAACCCCGCCAGGGGCTGCCCCATCCTCACCTGTTGCTGTCTGAGCCCATCTCGTGGAGGGCCTCCCTGAGTAAGCCGAGGAGGAGGGTGGAGGAGGTTCCTCAGCCTCTGAGGGAGTCTGAGGGGTGTAAGTGGTGGTCCCACGGGACCATTACAGGCACAGCCTGGACGCACCGACAGGTGGCACCCACAGAGGTTTGGCTCCGGAAGCCCCAGCCGCCCTCCAGCCCTGGCTCTACATTCCAGCCACGACATGCCTGCCTTTCCTCCATGGCTCCTGTCCCTATTCAAGGACCTCTTCTGCCTGTCCTCTCCTGGCTAACACTGGCTCATCCCGAGCACCTCTTCCCCCGGGAAGCCTTCCTGGGTCCCTCCTGTCTGTCCGTCTGAGTCCGGTACCCCTCCATAGTGAAGCTTTTGCTTCATTGCACAGTGAAATGCCTTGTTATGTGCCTCGCTGCCCGGTTAGACTGAGAGCCTGAGCCGTCGGGGAGAGTATCTGCCAGGTACATTTTTGTCTCTCCAGTCTCTGGCTCCAGTCTCTGGGTTTGCAGACAGCAAGCAGTGAGCAAACACTGGTGGAGTGAATGAATGAATGGATGAGTGAATGAATGAGGTTGATGACTTCTGTGTTAGGAGCTCTCAGCTTCCTGCTCTGCTCTGCTCTGCTAGGAGTGGACAGCCCTGGCCCCCAAAGGTTGGTTTCAGATGGATGGGGAGACCAGAGGGCTGGTGCTGCCAGGGGCTCAGTTTCAAAGCTGAACAGAAGGTCCAACCATTCAGGGTATTTGCAATTGCCTTTATCTGCTTTGAGACAAGCAAGCCGACCCATCTCTCCTCCTCGTCTGCCCTTGCCTGGCTGCTGCGGGAAGGTTCCCAGGGCATATGTCTCCCAAGAGCCTTCCGGCAGGCTCCTGCTTTTGATCTGCTCTGAGCTGAGGCCAGAGGCAGCCTGGATTTGGAATTTGCTTGGCTTTCAGATCTTTTGAAAGGTGCTTCAAACCAAACCAAACCAAACCAAAATCCACTGTCATTGAGTCAATTCCGATTGAGAGTGACCCTACAGGACAGGGTAGAACTGCCCCTGTGAGTTTCTGAGCCTGTAACTCTGTATAGGAGTAGAAAGCCCCATGTTTCTCTGAAGGAGTGGTTGGTGGTTTTGAACTGCTGATCCTGTGGCTCACAGCCCAACGAACACAGAATCACTGCCCTGCTAGAGCTCCGCTGGAAGATGCTAAGCTCTAATGATTTTCAAGTAACTGCACACGGCCCTCTGCCTTTGGGCAGACTCCAACCCAGGTCTCTTTCCCTTCCTCCCTTCCTCTTGCAGCCAAGTGGACCAGGACTTGAGAGAGGAGGGAATTCTGGGTAAATTGTTTGCTCAGAGAGTGGGCGCCCCCCCCCCCCCCCCCATCTCACTTGATCCAGCCCTCTCTTCAGGCAAGGTCATTTTCAACAAACAGCCAGCTGCGTTTCCCTGGGGGGAGGGGGGCACTAAAGATACTGAGTTCATAGAAATCTATGTTATGAACAGTCTGACCTACCCGTATTGATCACACTCAGACTGACGTCGGCACACACAGTCCCCTCTGTGTGCAGGCATTGGCACAGCTCAGCACAGCTCCAAAAGCCATTGCAATCCAGCCAGGGGCGACTCCTTCTTCAAGGGCCCTGAATATCCCCCAAACTAATACTACCACCCCTCCACCCCCACCCCGACAGAGCACCCACCGAGCACCACTGGGGAAAATTCCTTGCGGATTTGAGATTTTTCACTCTGTTAATCTCCAGGCTCAATAATGCAAGCACTCCCTGCTGCAAATTAAATGCTTTTCTGAAAGGGTCCCCTCCCCGCTCCTCTTTGATGTGGGCAGAATTGGCCCCGTGACCCTCCCTCCCGGGGCCTAAGTGTGTGTGTGTGTGTGGGGGGGGGGGCTTGTTCTCTCCCCACAGGCCTCTTTCACTCTGTTATTTGGAGGATTTCTTCTCTGGGTGGCTAGGAGTCAAACCTGACTCACCCGGACCTAACACCACGCTCACTGCTTCCAGGTTGCTCCAGACTCCCAGCCACCTGACAGGACAGGTAGAGCTGCTCCCCTGGGTTTCCAAGCCTGTAACTCTTTACAGGAGTAGAAAGCCTCATCTTTCTCCAGCAGAGTGCCTGATGGTTTTGAACTGCAGACCTTATGGTTAGGAGCCCAACCTGCCCCACGCTATGCCACCAGGGCTCCTTATAACAACTCGACGAACTCTGTACAAACTACGGTCCAGCTGAGAGCGGGAGAGGAGGAGGTTGGGAAGTCAAAATCTGCTCCCTCCTCCTTGGCATAGCAACTGCCCACAGCCTGTCCTGGTGACGGAGACGGTGAGAGAGTGGCCCAGGCCATGATTGGGGCGCAGCCTTCAGGCTCTGGGAGTCCTGGTGGCTTCCAGGTCAAGCTGGCCCTGGGCGCAGCTGCGCATCTGCAGCACCCACCTCAACACTACCACGCTCAAAGGGGTGAGATTGGGTCTGAGGGGGACAGCAATGGTAAGTACTACAATGGTCTGTAGCCCTGCCAAGCCAGACAAAAATCTCGTTCCTTGGTATATATTCGCTCTGATTGGAAGTAAATTAAATTTAATCAATTTAATGTACGCCATAGCGAGTTATGTAAAATGGCCTTTCTAGCTAACTTTTGTAATGTCCAAGTGACCGGATGGGGCTATGCAAACGGGGTGTATATGGCCCGCAGAGGGCTTTGGGTACCTTGCAAATGAAGTAAATAAGATGCAAACCAAGCGGGAAGGGAGGCAGCGGTTGGTGTAAGATATGACAATAATAATAATTTGTCATTTATCAAGGGGTCACAAGAGTGGGAGGATCTGGTCAGCCCCCCTCCCCACGCTGAACCCTCCCTTCAATAACATGCAGTTTGAATATTGGCATTGTTTCATTTGACATGGAAGAATATGTGCCCATGCACAAGGGCGCTTCAAACGGTTCACGGGCAAATTCCCATCATCTTTCAGTCCCAGGTTTCCACAGACGTTGCGAAGCCCCTGTATCACATCATGGTGTGGCGATCCCCTGGGTGACCTCCCTTGGATCCTAATTTCCCTGCGGTTAAAGACAGTCATCCATGTGGGGCTTCCTCTTCCATGTCCAGGCCCAAGAAAGGCATAGGAAAGTCTTTGGGCACCAGGAAGCCCCTGGGCAGAAGGCCAGGGGTGAGGTGTCACGGATGGGTGATGGGACTCCAGTGACGAGGGAACCTGTCCCTCCCCGCCCTCCCAGGGCTCCCGCCTCACCTGGCCGACTCTTTCCACTCCATCTGGTCTCCGTCGTGCTGCAGGGTGTCCATCTCTGTGAAGAGGGTGGGGTTGGGAGCCTCATCTTCCTCCCCCAGGATGCCCCGGAGCTGCTCTGCAGCTGGAGAGCCTGCAAGGGAGGGCATCAGGTTTGCTGAGTGGCCCACGGAAGACGGGAGAGCCGAGGGGCCAACAGAAACGGAGCAGGGATCACAAGTCGGGGAGGCCATTTCCTAATCCAGCAGCACGGAGCCCAGCTTCTGAGTGAGGCTGAATTTCCTTCACGCTGGGTGAGACGTGGGCAAAAGAATCTTGAAGGTAAAAGAGACGCCAGGAGAGCCTCAGACTGGTCACGGAATTAACAACAACAAGATCACTGAGAATGGATTCCAAACTCACGGCGACCCCATAAGGGTTTCCAAGGCTGTACATTCATCTTTGTGAGAGCAGATGGACCCCTCTTTCTCCCACAGAGCAGCTGGCGGGTTTGAACCTTTGACCTTGAAGGTAGCAATCCAATGCTGACCCAACAGGGCCTAGAACGGAAAAGGCCATGCCCGCACCCAGTGTCTCCCCGGGCAGGGAGATCAAGGGGACGTTTCTCACCTCCAAGCCATCCTGAAAGCGCTCAAGGACATTCTCCCCCCGACCAACTTCATGGCTTCTGTTCTAGTTCAAGTTCAAGACTGCCCTGCACCTCGCCCAGTCTTTCCTCCCTCCTGGCGTCCATGTCTCCTTAGTTCATCAGCTCTTGCTGGGCTCACGTCTTTCTCGATGGGGCCCTCAAACTCCAAAAGCCAAGCTCACTGCCACCGAGTTGATTCTGACCACTCGTAGGGACCCTATAGGGCCGAGCAGAACTGCCCCTGTGGATTTCCAAGACTGGAAATCCCTTATAGGACTTTATAGGACTAGAAAGCTTCATCTTTCTCCCTCGGGGCGGCTGGAGGATTCGAACTGCTAATCTTGTCATTGGCAGCCCAGCATGGAACCCACGAGGCCACCAGGGGTCCTCATCACTGGGTCCCCATTGGCCAATTACTTCAACCGCTCTTTCCTCACTCGCTGGCTTCCGATGCCGACGCACCAGCCAACACCAAACAGCATCCGTGGATGCCGTCCTCATTTCTGCAGGGTGTCTTCTGCACGGGCTAGGAGAGAGGCGATGTGGCACAGGGCACAGGTGGGGGCGTGCCAATGAGCTTTCAATCCAGATGGGTGTGAGCTCAGAGCCGCCACTCACTCGTGAGTGAAGTCAGCCTATGAACAGAGCACCTGACGCTGCGCACGGCCCGGAAGGGAACAGGTGTGGAGCCTCCACTCACGGCCAACCCCAGCACCCAGGCTCAGGAGCCTCACTGGAGAAAACCAGCCGGCTGTGTAGGTGGAGGATTCCCAGATTTCAGAAGAGCAGCAGCTCTGCACCCATCTCCCCTCCCCCCCTCCAGCCCCTTCCCGTGGCCCTCTGTGCCATTCCTACCCTCTCTTCAAGCCTATTGACCAATCTCCGACCCCACCTCCCCAAGAAAATCAAGGCCGCCAGACATGAAAGGTGCCAACTCCTCCCACCCTCCCTTCTAGTTCTGTGTCTTTGCCCCTGAGGCCATCTTCGAACAGAAAGGGAATCTTTCTCCAGTTTCATCCCTGGACTCACCCACCTGAGGGTGCCCCTCCTCTCCTCGGTCTTTCTCTAAGCCTATAATCCGACCCACTTCAAGCCCTCCCTTCCCCCTGCCTCCCTCCCAAATTCTCCTGCTCCTCTGCTTCCTCCTTGGACCCCAGACCTCTAGAAAGAGAGGTTGACACTCTCTCTGCTCTCCCTCCTGACCTGATCATTAACCCGCGCTCACTGCTCTGGCCCCCACCACACCAGGACACCGAATCCCGCCAAGATTTCAAAGTGGTAGTTTGAAGATGCATTTGCCTCAGCCCCAACAGAGGATAACACGATTTTGAAAGCATTGATAGCATTAAGAAACTGTGAAATTTTACATCAAAACTCCGTATCTCTGGCTCTTCTTGAGAATTCAGAGGCTTTGAGGACCTTGGCACTCCTGGGACAGCAAGCATTGGGTGATGGCTGCCTTGTGAAGGCGGGGCATGGGGCCTCTGAGGAGCCCCGGTCCGTCACTCCCTCCTGTGCAATGCCCTGCTACGCGCCCCTTCACAGCTCTTGCCCCTGGAGCCCTCTTTGGGTTTCTTATCGTCAAACCAGTCAATCCATAAAATCAATAAAGCAAACAGCACCGTGAAGCTGTGGTCCGGTTTCCAGCTCTGGACACCAGCGGCGGTGACCGTTTCCTCAGACCGGAAGTGGACAGAAACATGGATAGAAACCACGATCCATCATAGCAGGACACTTCCTTGATCCCCCACCCCTGTCCACATCCTCCCTGTCGCGCAGGTCCCGGGGTGACACGAACGGTTTGCCCTTGGCCAAGGGGCTGAAACATAGCACCCAGTGGCAGGCTGGCACAGGACAGGGAAGGGCTCCTTTCCGTTCCGAGGGTCGCTATGACCGAGCCAACTCCACAGCACCTGACAACCACTCACCTAAAGGTTGGCAGTTCAAAGTCACCCAGCGGACAGAGAGACCTTCCTCATGGTCTGGCTCTTACCTGCCTTTCCAGGTTTTTACCCTGCACCTCAAGATGGGGAGCCATTCTCCTCGGTGACACACGGGGCTAAGGAGCCCTGGGGTGGGGGGTGGGGCACGAGACAGAGCCGACCTGAGGACAACACCAGTGTGTAGCTTGGTCCTCTTTCCGTGTGTTCCTGGCTCCTCTTGCCTGGCTCACTCATGAGGTGGAATCTCCTCCAGGGTTCCCCTGTCTCTCTGCTCTCTCCCCACCCTTCCTGGACCCTCATGTCCTTGGCGGTGCCACCCTGTGGGCAAGGATGCACACGGTGACACCAGGCCTGCCTGTATGGGGCATTTCTAACCGCCAGTGGGACCCTCTAGCTGGGAGCCCTGCAGCCTCCTCAAGCCAACCTCAACAAACACAAACCACCAGCCCACCGCCCCTCTCCCCCACACCCTGACCCTGCTCCCCCTGTTCTGAGTGTTCTCGCTCTCGGTTACCTGGCCAACCAGACAAGGAACGCTGGCCCAACTCCTGCAGACTCTCTTCTCACCAGCCAGGCCCCAGCAAACACTGATTTCTTTCAGTTTCTTCCTCAATAGTGCCTGCTCCTTTACCCCCCACCCCCGTCGGTTGCCACCACCTTTGGTCAGCTCTGTTACCTCCAGCCCCTGGGCACAGCTACAGCCCAGCCTGCTCCCACTGCCTCTGGCTGTAGCCCCAGGCCCCACTCATTCCCCGGGTGCAGCAGACTGTGCTGTAAGGACACTTCATTTGAAAACACCAAGAAACGTTTCCAACGTGTTCTCACGGCGCGCCCCTGGGAGTCGGGGAGCTCTCTGGGAAGCAGTGTGACAGACGGTGCGTGTGTGCTGGGCCGTAGTCCACGGGCAGAAGATCCTGTTGTGTTATCCCCCTGTAGGTCGGTGACACCGAACACTCAGGGAGATTTTACAGAAACACAGCATCAACGTGCGAAGACGTCCAGAATTCTAAATGCTCAATGTGTTCTTCAGATGGGGGAGAAGACTGCCTGCTGGATTCAATCTGCTGCTTCTCAAAGGTAAAGTTGACCCCAGCTGCAAGCCCCAGTGGTTTCCTGTTGCCTAAAGCTCACGGCTCAAACAGCCCTTGTGAGCCGGTCTTACCCCCTTTCTAGGCTGTGTCCTACGGCTCAAACAGCCACCCCAGGCCCCCGCGTCCCAGTCACCCTGCACCCCAGTCTCTGTGAAGGAGGGCCTGCTGCCCCTCGGGCATTTGTGCCTGTTCCATGAGGCAGGAGTCCCTTGCCACCTTCAAGGCCAGGCCTGAAAGCAGATCAAGGGAAGAGTCATGAAGTCAAGCCACAGGGCAGAAAGTGGGAGGCTTGAGTCTCCCTGTTGAGGGGTTACCTGCTCCGTGGAATAGCTGAACGCTGGGGTCTCTGGCTGCCGGGGCTGCCCCTGGCTGCTCCTGCTGCTGCCACCCTGGCTGTTGTCTCCAAAGTCCTCTTACCCAGGCCGGGCACAACAAACTGACTTGTGTCTCCAGTTAAAGGACCCCGAAGGCGGCACGGGGAGGCAGGGTAGCGATTGAGCTGTGTGTGTGTGTGTGTGTGTGTAGGAATGTGTGAAAGGGAGGTGGGGAGAGAGATTGTGAGAGGGAATAGAAGAACAGAGATGTGGCAGGTGTGAGAGATGGGGAGAAATTGGGAGAAAGAAGGAGCTATTGAGATCACTGTGAGTGTGAGAGATTAAGCGAGGCTGTGTCGGGGAGAGAGACTGGGGGATGGAGAGGTAGCTAGCTGTGAGGTGGACTGCAGGGAGGAGCTGAGGAGCTGTGAGAGGGCTGGCAGCCCT